TTGGGAGTCTAGATGTGAATCCCAACTCAACCAGTGATTTGGGTCTGTGGGCAAGTCACTAAACCTCTTTGTGATTCGGTCTCTTCAAGCGCAAAATGGAGATAATTATAGAACCTTTCTGAAGGGACTACTGTAAGGATTAAAGACAAAACAAGCAATGCTGCCCGGCGCACACGCTGTGCGGAGGAGGACGGCTGTTGTTAAGTAGGAAGCGCCCGCAGGAAGCCCTGCCTGTGTTAGGACAGGCCTTGCCCCCGTCCGATTTGCAGAACAAACTGGAGCCCAAAAGAGGACAGAGAACTCGCACTTGTTGCACACACAAAATGAACTCTTTCATAATCAGTTTCCTTTTGCGTGAGTCCAGCACTTTACCCAAACCCAAAGATCAATGAAAAAAAACATTCTAAAGTCCTGGTTGGGCAAGAAATCGGCCACCCGCAATCGGCCTGATCCCGAAGGGCCCTCCTTGGTTTGGCCAAAGACAGCCCCTTGGTGGCGAAGACACCGCATGGGGATCCTCCGCCGTTCCCCATGTCCAGTAGAACACTGTCTCTCTTCTCTAGCTTTTCCTTTTGAACTGCAGAGGACCGGCAAGCGTGAGTCAAGGGTGAAAGAGATCACCAAGAAAAAAGTTCCTGCAAAGATGGACGGTGATGGACGCGTCTTCTGGTCGGTGAGGGCGGGGACCCTGTGCAGACACAGAGGCACTAAGAGGCCAGAAAGTTTCGGGGCCCATCGGCTGAAGCTGAATTAGCCCGAATCGCAGCAGGACGATGGGGCAGAGACTGTCAGAGACGGACAAGAGGATAAAATGCTCGCAGGACAGGAAGGGAAAGGTTAGCACAAAGATCGCCCTCCGGGGCCCCGTGATGGAGCGCTGGCCTAGCACGCAGCGGGCCACCGGGATTCAATCCCCAGCACCGAAGAACAAAACAAATCAACCAGATTGACTCCAACTGTTAAAATTCAAAACACTAAATATGCTTATGGGTGAGTCAACCGCAGCGAACCCTTCGGGTACTCTGGGTAAACTGAGGCCCACAGTAGCCAGGAACGCCGCAATCCGGGCGGCTCCGTCCCTCCGGAGAGCCTGCGGGGACTCAGCCCGAGGACAAAGCGGCGTCTCACCTGGTTGTAGAAGACTTCAGGCTGCTGGTTGGGGGTCGGGATCGCCTGCGCGGCGGCAGCAGACAGGAGGCGGCAGCCGAGGCGGGGCCCAAGGCCGGCGGCGGCGAGGACGGCGGCGCGCAACATTCTGCGGCGAGGAGGGCTCGGGAACCGGCGGCTGCGGAGGGCGAGGAAGCAAGTGAGGGGCGCGGGCAGGGCCGAGGGGCCCCCCGCCTGGCCCGCCCCGCCTCCCCGGCGCGCCCGCCAATGGGCAGAAGGGGGCGGGCCCGGAGCGGGCCGGGGCCTCCCACCCTCGGGCCGACCGAGCCCGCGTGAGGGAGGGCGGGGACCCCGGGCCCTCGGCGCGCGGCCGCTGCTCTCCCCGGCGTGGTAGAAGCGCCGGACCTCGCGAATTCGGCACGGGCTGGCTGGACCCCAGATGTGCGCCCGAACCCCAAATGCGTACAGGCCTGAACCACAGCGATCCTGACTTCTTGGGGCTGACACCAGTCCTACAATCAAACACGAGGTCCTCTCAGACAATAAGGACCATGAAGGAGGTGAATAGGTTTGGAGATTGGACGGGAGCAGAGACGACTGGTTTTAAATATTGAAGCAAGAGAGTTGGGGGAGCCGAGCATGGTGGCGCACGCCTGTAAGCCCAGCACTCGGGAGGCTGAGGCAGGAGGATCGGTGCGAGTTCTTAAGGCAGAACAGCACTCCACTGTATAAAAAAAAAAAAAAAACAAAAAAAAAACCAACCAACCACATCTTCTTTATCCATTCATCACTTGGTGGGCATTTGGGTTGTTTCCCAGATCTAGCTATTACAAACTGTGCTGCTATAAACATGGGTGTGCATATATCACCGTAGTAAGATGTTTTTAATTCTTTCAGGAAGATACCAAGAAGGGGAATAGCGGGCTGGAATGGAACCTCTAGTTCTAGTTTTTTCAGAAATCCCCACACTGATTTCCACACTGGTTGCACCAGTCTACACTGCCACCAAAATAGCCCTTCTTTCTGGAGCGAGATGGGATTTCAGTGTTGATTTTGTTTTGTTTTGTTTTGTTTTGTTACCTGGAATTGAACTCAGGACCTCAAGCTTGCTGGGCAGGCACCATGTTGCTGAGCTATATCCCCGACCTCAGTGTTGTTTTAATTTGCATCTCTAGAATGACCAGTGAAGTTGAACATTTTTTCATATATTTATTTGCCATCTCTGCTTCATCTGAAAAGTGTCTATTCATTTCAGATGCCCATTTTTGGACTGAGTTTTTAAATTTGGGGGATATGATTTTTTTCAGTTCATTGTATATTCTAGATATTAGTTCTTTGGGAAACAGCTGGCAAAAATATTTTAAGGGTTGGGATGCACCTCAGTGATAGAACACTTGGTTAATATGCACAAGCCCCTGGGTTCAGTCCCAAATACTAGGAAAAAAGAAAGGTATTCTGTCGGCAAAAGAATGGTCACAGAACTTCTGTAAGAGATATACCCTTGGGCCAGGCATGATGGCACATGCGTGTAATCCCAGCACTTGGGAGGCTGAGGCAGGAGGATTGCCATGAGTTCAAGGCCAGCCTGGACTACATATAGAGACCCTGTCTCAAAAGAGAGGGGCGGGGGAGACAGGGGGGCTGGGGGAGGACTATAAAATCGTGACCAAATAACAAAATCCCTTGTCAAATTGCTTCTCACTGGCAAGGAACGCCTGGGGTTCTCCAGGTGGGAACTCAGTGACCCAGGCCCATTTGTGTGACTCTGATCTCATCAGGGAATTGTCAAAGTCACAGGAGGACCCAGCACCATCCACTCAAACCCAAGGACAAAAAAAGCACTAATGTTGGCCCAAGGGTGGTTTCTATGCCTAAGACCCTCTCTTTTCTTGACATGGTATTCTTTTGGCTACATGTTCCATTTTTATTAAAGAACTTCCTGTTGGGGGGAGAGAACTTCCTGTGGATACCATCTAGGTTGTTCCCAGTCTTTTGCAGTCCAATCTTTTGCAGTTACAAGCAGTGCCACAATGTATGGCACTTACTTGGAACCACTAAATCAAGGGATATTCACAGTTTAAATGTAAATATTGTGATACAATGCTCCTGGACTTATAATGGGGGGATGGCCTATAACTCCATCTTCTATTGGAAGTATCATAAGTCAAGAATGCATTTAATATTTACTGGGCATGATGGTACATGTCTGTAATTCTAGTACTCAGGAGGCTGAGGAAGGAGGATTTCTGTTAATTTGAGGCCAGCGTGGGCTACATAGCAAGAATATGTCTCAAGGGGGAATAAAGTATACATGTAATGTACCTAACCTACCAAGAATCCTAGCTTAGCTGTACTACATACTGCAGTGTCTATAGTTCTCTCTCTTGATTGTGAGGTCGATCAGGGGTTTGCTCCCTGCCACTGTCTACCCAGCATCATGAGAGAGGACTGGAGGCTGTATCAGGAGCTGGGAAAGGATACAGGCTCAAAACTCAAAGTATGAGTCGGTCTTGATGGTGCTTGCCTGAAATCCTGCACTCAGTAGGCTGAGGCAGGAGGGTTGCTGTGAGTTTGAGGCCAGCCTGGGCTACATAGTGAGTTCAAGGCCAGCCTGGTCTATACAATGAGACCCTGTCTTAAAAAAACAAAAATAAAAACAAAAACCTACCTCTGGTTTCCTCTGAATGCATAGCACTTTCATGCCATCATAAAGTTTAAAAATCTTCAGTCAAACCGTCCCAAGTTAGGGACCTTTTATATTTCCCTCCACAGAGCTGTAATTTATGTCCTATCCTCTATCATGTCTGAGTTTCCTTCCACCCTAACCAATACAGTCTTTTAATTTCTTTTGTTTTTGTTTTGTTTTGCAGTGCTGGGATAGAATCCATGACTTTGCACATGTTAGGCAAGTGCTGTACCACAGAGCGCTATCAGATTTTTTTCTTTTAGATTGAACCCAGGGCCTTTGCACTGAGCTACACCTCAGCCTTTTTTTTTTAGACGGGCTCTCACTAAATTGTTAAGTTGTCCAGCCTGGGCTCAAACTTGCAATCCTTCTGCCTCAGCCTTCCAGAGTTGTAAGGTTCTAGGTGTGTACCACCAGGGCCAGCTCAGATATTTTTGTTAGCCTTGTTAATCTATAGGTGAGAAATAGCATTTAATTATTACATTAAATTGTGTTTCTCTTATTAGTAAGCTTTGCCCATATGCAGGCATGTATTTTTCCTTGGCTAGGAATTAACACTGGCACATTTTTGCTATTGGATTGATTGTTGGCCTCTTTAAAATTGAGTTACAGGAGCCAGTTTTACAGATAATTAATATTTTCTCTATCATATATGAGGCAAAGACTGTCTCCCAATCATCATTTGTCATTTCACTGGTAAGCGCCTGTTGGGGCCGGCTATGTAAGGGTTAAGCTGCTGACCACAGTGCTCTGAAGACAGGTAACACCTATTCCAGAGCAAGAAAGTGCCAACGTTAGAGATCAAATAGTTCTCTTAATCAGCAAGATTTACTGCCTTTGTTCTGTCTTCTCAAGGCCCTGTTCATTTTCAAGGGCTTTGCCTCAGATGTGGTATCTTTTTCTTTTCTTTTGTTGCTGAGACAAAATACCTGACACCCAGAGTTAAAGGAGGGAAGGTTTATTTAGCTCTCAGTGTGTGGAGGTTTCAGTCCGTAATGAGCTGGCTCCAAGGCAGGGTAGCATGGCAGAGGGACAATAGTTCATGGCAGCAGAAGACAGCAAGAGCAACAAGAGCAAAATGGGGGAGGGGGTGGGGGACAAGCCTCTTTTCCTCCCTCATATTGTAAGCAGGCCACCCACTCTGGGGCAGGTGTAGCACTCACACCATCTCCCTGCCCTCCTCTTGCATGGCTGTGGATGTTTACAAAATGAGGACCCTGGCCCCCTGCTAAGTCACTGAGTTAAATTTCTAAACCTCTCAAATTGACACAATGGAACAAACATCACATCATGGATGTAAACAACTGTTTTAGAGGACATGTCTGTTTTAGGACATGTCCTCTAAACCCCAGGATGTAGAACTGCTGAGTTACTTAGTTAAGCTTCTAAACTCCTCAAGTTGACACAATGGATCAACCATTACATGTGGTCTCCACTTCCTGCACCCTCTGACTTATGAAAGAGCCAATAAATATGGATGGATTGTGAAAAATCTTTGCCTTAGCTCCTAGAGAGTTCTGACCTTTCTGGATCCCTTGAAAACATATTTTTGTCTCTCTTATTTAAGCCTTTGCCATGCATCCCTTTAGGAGACTGGGGGCTCAGGCCAAGTCTCCAATAAGTGCCCTTAAGTAGCTGTATTTCTGAGCTATGTTCTGTTTCGCTAAACTATCCATATGTCAGTTTGGCACAATTCTGTGGCTTTCTTATGGCCTTTTATTTGTTTGTTTGTTTGTTTGTCTTTCTGAGATAGGGTTTCCCTGTGCAGTTCAGGCTGGCCTCGAGCTAAATTTGTAGTCCAGGCGGTGTCAAACTCGCAATGATCCTCCTGCCTCAGCCTCCCGAGTGCTGGGATTACAGGTGTGTACCACCACGCCTGGCTAGATGTGGCTTTCTTATAAGCCTCAATCTCTCACATCATCTTTCCTCTTAACCAAGATTTTCAAGTCTGGAAGTGATGAGGTTGCGTATGTTCTTCTGAGGGATCCCTCTGGGGACAGCGTGGGAACCTGGTTGCAGAGAAGACAGGCTTCTTGCCTGGGGCCGGCAGGGAGAGAGAGCACGGGCTTAGCACTGACTGGTAGCTGCGTGGCGATGTGGGTAGGTGGCAGGAGTTGCGGTAGGTGCCGGGCTGAGGTTTCTGCCATGTGCTGTTCACCAGGACGGGGAAGCCAGAGAAGCTCTGAACCTGGTTATGTGGAGGGGAAGGAGCCGAGTTAGCTTACGAGGTGGAGGCAGGGTGTGGCAGTGTTGGTGGGCGTGTGGTGTGTGTGTGTCTCTGTGCATCGAGTGTTGGTCCACAGGTTCATCTCTTGTAACTGTGCAGCCATCAGCCCTGGCCCCTCGTTTTGGCTCACCTCTTCCCATGTCCATCCTACCCTCTCTCCTTCAAGCAATTTCACTCACCAAGACCCAGTGCAAATCCTGCCTTCTGGCCAAGTCTCCCCCAGCCACACCGCTTTCGCGTGTTCGGTTCAAGGTCAAATGGATGTGCCATAGCCCTAGAAGAGTCACGGCTCCCTGCGGCTCAGTCTGTCCAAGGCATCAACTAGAATTTAACTCTCAACCTCGATTTCTCCCTGATGGTCCGCATGGGCTCTTTTTGCTGTTTTCTTGCTCTTGTGTAAGTCTGCTCTGATAGAAGCCTCCTTTCTCTAAGACTTTCTCGCTTGTTCTTCATTGCCTCTTGGCTTGACTCCTTGCCAGGAATGGAGGTGGCAAAGGCCAAATCATTCCCACAGCACGGAGATCTCGGGGAGAGGCGCCCTGAGCCACTCGCCTGGTAAGAGGCACAACCTCTCAGCTTCGAAAGACTCCAGGCACTCCACTGTCAGGGCCCAGTTAAGTGTTTTCAGGTTGAAGACACCTCGTTCCACTTGCTCCCTAAGAAAGTGATAACTGAGAACTCTCCCAGGACACTGAGTGAGGAGACTTGAGACAATGTAGTTGTTCTGTCCCCGTTCTGGGAGCCTGACCACTGTATGGCAGCCCCCATGCCCACACCAAATAATGATGTTAGGCGAGGAGTGCAAATGAGCATCTAAACGGAAGACCTTCTTCCTCACAAGCAGGAAGGCAATGTATTGCAGCCCCGTGCCCCAGCTGCACACACACATGCAAACCTGTGACAAACAGCCGGCCCACCACACCCTGTGTCCGGCCAGGACCACATGGGCCGGTACCTCTGCATGAGACCTGATATTAAGAGGCATTTGGGATAATCCATTTTGGTTTTTTTTTTTTTTTTTTGTTTTTCTCCGGTACCGGGAACCGAACTCACGACCTTGCACTTGCCAGGCAGGCGCTTTGCCGCTGAGCTAAATCCCCAGCCCCCCGTTTTGTTTTTTGTTTTGTTTTATTTTGCTTTTTTGAGACAGTATCTCACTATGTAGTGTAGGCTGGCCTTGAACTTGCTTGTGCAGCCCAGGCAGGCCTTGAACTCCCCGGCGATCCTCCTGCCTCAGCTTCCCAAATGGTGGAATTATAGGCATGCATCACCAAACCCGGCCTGGGATAATCTGATATCACTCATCTTTTGAAACAGAATCATTCAAAGAAACTCACATACTTTCTTTCGGACAGAGCCTGCTCTCTTTGGGTAGGAATGGCCTCGTCCCCTTCCTTCCTCCTTTTCCAGCGCTTCTTGGGAAGCCCCTTAGAGACCTTAAAAGTTCATGTCTCAGAGCAGAAAGAGTTCTGGAGTCTTCTGAATTGGGGTTTGAATTCACTGACTGGCTCTGTGACCTTACATAAGTCATATAACTTCTTTGAACCTCAGTCTCCTTATCCCCAAAATGAGCAGAAAAAAAGTATGTGCCAATTGTTTTAAGGATTCAGAATAATACATGCACAGTTCTTGGCACCTAATATTAATGTTAGTGGCTCTCTGAAATCAGGTGGTGCCCTTCATCTGGAAGTCCAGCCGTGCTGCCCACATGCCATTCTCAGTGCAGGGTTCCGTAGCAAGCAGCACGGCCCATACTCACACTAGGAAGGCAGACTTAGTGCACCACAGTCTGCGTGTCAGCCAGATCCCCAGGTAATTCCTTCACAGGTTAGGGCTGTGAAGCACTGCCGTCCTATGCAGTCCAAGCTGGCCCCTGGCCTTGATAACTCTCCCTAGGCCTGGGCCCCAGCTAAAGCACATCCTCATCCTCTTTAGCTGCCCGCCTCCTGACTCCAACCGCTCAGGAACAGCTGGCATGCTCCGCAGGCTTGTAATAAGTTATGTACAATCTCATTTAATCTCCCAACAGCCTTGGTATAGAAGTGCTGTTCTCTCCATGTTTCAAATGAAAAACCAAAGGGAAGCGATGGAAAATCACCTCCAGCAAGTCTGTAGTGGGGTGTTTTAGCCATTTGAATGAGAACCAAGATTCTCTGTTTGATCAAACCTCTAGCGAGGCCCTTCTGGGTCCTCTTCTTAACTAGTCTTCAATCTTGACCAACAAGAGCTGCGACCTCTCAGCACAAATGATCTAGTGCACGCCACCCAGCACCTGCCACATGAAAAGATCTGAGCAAACACTCATGTAGTTTCTATCAGCTCAGGCCTTCGTCACTAGGATGATCCCAGGTCCCATCAAAGTGCCTGCCAGAAAAAGCTCAAAGCTGCCAAAAAAAATTACTGTTTGCTCCAGTTAGCATCCTAAGACAGGTAGGATCCTTTCTCATGGTCTCCTTCGTAAGTGCCAGCTAGCAAACCCCAATGGGCCCACACAGACCAAGCCTCCTTCCTGCTTTGTATAAATGTCCACTCTAGCCACCATGCCTGCCATCCCAGCCATTTCTGCACAAATCTGAGTTGAGTTCATGCTGTGCCCTCCTTTTTTTTTTTCTTTTTTTGAGACAGGGTCTCACTATGCAGTTCAGGCTGGCCTTGAGCTCACTTTGTAGCGCAGGCTGGTCTCGAACCCTCGCAAGATCCTCCTGCCTCAGCCTCCCAAGTGCTGGGGTTACAGGCATGTGCCACCATGCCTGGCCTCCTCCTTCCCGTTGCAGTAGTACATTGCAGATTAAGTCCTGTCCTCACCGCTTTAACTAGGACCCAGCTTCATCTTCCACAGCTCTTACCACTGTGTTGCTCATCTAAGGCTGGTATAACAGAAAACTCCTGAAGCCATTTCTCCACTCAGTCAACTTGACAAAAACCGTCCCAGATGACTTGTCAGACAGAATGTCACAATCAGGCCCCGAGTTGCTGGAGCCCAGGTTCCGTCTGCTCTGACATTCGCTCGTGTGAGCAGGAGGAAGGGCTCATACACTACCCACATGGCGGCCCAGAGGTCAGTGGAGATGCCCACCCGGATGGGCCTTGTTGGTGCTCAGCCAGTGCGTTAGTCCAGACACAGCCCTAGCGCTCCGCAGGGAAGCCCACGGTGGTGACAGACAATTCCAAGCTGGGACACATGGGGCAGAGACACTGGAGCCTGTTCTTTGGGTGCCCTTTCCACCTGTGCTCTTGAAGGGCCCCACCCAGGCAGGCTGCCTGCAGCGCAGCCTCCCGCCCGCCTTTCGGGATTGTTCTGAAATTATCCAACAGAGGTGAGGACATGGCTGGAGGGAGCACAGTCAGCTGGTGCTCAGGGAGTGTGGAGCAGAGGGGGAACCGGAGTGCGAGGGCCCCGGAGATGGCGTCCTTGGTGGGACACTAGGAGCCTTAAAAGGCCCAGGGTCACCAGGGAGGTCAGCACGCCAGGAAGGGAACAGGAATGTGCGCCCAGTTCCTTTGAGACAGAACACCGGAGAGAAAACACAGTATGTACTTGTCACATGTTGTTCCTGTAGAGGCTATTCTAAATGTAACGAAAATTTTAATCCTGTATTTCTAACACTAGTGTATTTCTAACACTGTTCAAGAACAAGGGCCAGGGAGATAACTCAGTGGCACAGCGCCCGCCTAGCAAGCCCAAGGTCCTGAGTTCGAGTTCCAGCACCAAGAAAAAAAAAAAAGAATGAGACTGGGAAACACAGTTGATTCTCATAATTAGCTACAAAACTTACGCTCCCGGAGCCAGCTGCAAGATAAGTGCAGCTTAGCCGGACAGTGGTGTTTTGTTTACTTTCAAGTCCCAGAGAGTTATCACCTCAAGGACAGCTCTGCGCAGTCTCAGACAGTGATGGACTCTTCCCCCAGGATATGATAGTAACCTTACTAGTTCCTGTAAGACTAAATTCTGCCTAGCAATTAGTGACAAAGACACGTGTAACCAACTATAGAATGTTATGCTATCTGCCTTTTTGTACTGCCTTCTGAAAGCCTATATAAGTGATCAGTAACGTCAAAATGGGGCTGGTGCTTTGTACCTCTGAGTTCCCCAGCCTACTAGCATCATAAAACTGCCTTCCGAAGTTCCTCTGGTGCTGTTGTCTGTTCGGCCTGGTCCTAAGTTCCGCATCATAACTTTGGGGCTCATTCTGGGAGACACCATGCTGACCATTTAGGTCACTGGTGAGGGCCTGTGACCTCCAGGGACTTGCCCTTCAACTACAGAGGAGACAGGGCACCCTGACTTTTTCCTCAGAGTCTCCTCAGCAGTGTGGCAGCAGTGACCTCATCGGACTCTAGAGGATGCAGAACAAATGAAGCCGTAGGTCGTCTGGGCTCAGCTAAGGTAGGGTTGCCCCCTGGAACATCCCAGTTAGCCTGTCAGTTTCTGTTTGTCAGGTCAACCCCCTGAAGGGGTGAAGTGAAGAAGCCTGTGCCAGCAGCCTGTGTTAGGGCGGTCGGCTTCTGTTCTGGATTCAGCTAGGCATCGCCCTGGGGTTTAGGAGCTGAAATGTGTTAACCTCTGAGTGCTTGCTGAATGACTGAATGAATGTCTGTACCAGAGGTCATTTCATCTGTGCTCCATCGCGAAAGCACGCTCCCCCTCACAACTTAGAAGCTACAGAGCTTGAGCGAGCCCTAACCTGCGATTCCAGGGACCTGTCGCACTGGGCTTGCCCAGCAGGCTTTCTTTGAAGGTTTAAAAAACATAATGGAGAACTAAGGGACACTCCTCCTTAGCTTGGACAGTCCCAGCGTTGCCAAGAGGCAAGCTGCCAGGCAGGTGCCTAGGTGTCTGTCTCCCTGAGGCACCCCCATCCTTTGTCTACTGCAACTTCATTCAAGGGCCCACAATTACACACTACAGAGAAAAATATGGATACAAGCCAGAATAAAATGACTCCCTTAAATACATTAGAAAAGGCTTTACAAAAGATTATAAGATAAAATAAAACCTGCCACCTTGGCTTCAGACAGGAGCCTGCCAAGAAGAAAAAACTCTCCGAATAATAAAAGCAGACCAGCTAGATTCTAAATCCCCTAGACAGATGACAACCCGAAAGGCTAGAAAGATGATTTATCCTGTTCTGTCTGCTGATTCTGATGGTGGCTTCCCTCCCCCATACAAGAATAACAACCCAAACCAGCCAGGGCCTGCCTCTCCGCCCACAGCTCCAGAGAGTCCAGTCAGTCATCACCTCCGCTCATCTCATCCGCAGGTGCCACTCCGTGCCCATCCAGGAGGCCGCCTTACTCTTGGAAAAATGATCTGTGCTGTAATAAAAATATAAAGTTGCTTAACTAGTGCACTGGGATGTACCGATGGGGTGCCACCTGAGTGGCCAGGCTGGAGATTAAACAAAACAAGGGTCATGTTTGCATTTCAAAGAAAATGTAAAAAACAAAAAAAGAGACAAGGCCTAAAGTGTCATCGTAAAGATCTAAAAACTGAAAAGTTCCAGCTTAAAGTAAATGGCAAAAGTTCTGTCAAACCTAAGGAAGTTTTACAGGAGAAATCAAGTTACACATTTTAACTAATTGGTAAAAATACTTTTGGCTTCAGTTTGAATTAATGTGCATAAAAGTGCCTGCCTGGCAAGCGCAAGGTCATGAGTTTGGTTCCCGGTACTGGAGAAAAACCAAAAAACCAAAAACAAAAAAAAAAACCCCAAAAAAACAAAAAAAATGAATTAATGTGCATAAAACATTTCTTGTACATTACCAAGCTTTGAATTTATGGGGTTAACTTGTTCTTTCCTCCGCTCTGTTGTTTTGAATCAGTAACCTGATTCAAGGTTACTCAGAGATCTGTTGGCAGTCAGTCAAGTTCACTATCTAAGGGAAAAAAAGGGACACTTTAAAATTCAAGTGGCTATAAAATCCAAGTTTGTTATAGAAGGGTATACTAAATAAAAATACTTAAAAAGCAAGGGGAGAAACTCTACCCTCTGGCCTTCCTACTATCAAGGGTGCACAGCTGAGACTCGGTGAGCCTAGGGAGCTCC